TTTCATTGATTCTTTGTATTGGTTTCTTTGTATCTGCTTTATTGATTTCAGCACTAAATTTGATTATTTCATGGTGTCTACTCCACTGAGGTGAGTTTGCTTCTTTTTGTTTTAGAGCTTTCAGTTGTGCTGTTAATTCTCTAGTGTGACTGCTCTCCAGTTTCTTCATGTGCTCACTAAGTGCTATGAGCTTTCCTCTTAGTACTGCTTTCAAAGTGTCTCATTAGTTTAGGTATGTTGTGTCTTCATTCTCCTTGAATTCTAAGAAGTCTTTAATATCATTTTTTATTTCTTCCTTGACCCCAGAATGGTGCAATTGTGCATTGTTCAATTTCCATGAGTATGTAGGCTTTCTGCAATCTGTGTTGTTGTTGAATTCTAACTTTAAACCATGGTGATTCAATAGGATATGGGGGTTATTCCACTTTTTTTGTATCTGTTGAGGTTTGCTATGTTGCCCAGTTTTTGGTCAATTTTAGAGAAGGTTCCATGTGGTGCTGAAGAAGGTATATTCTTTTGTGCTTGGATGGAATGTTCTATAGAGGTCTGTTATTCCCAACTGGGTCATAACTTCTGTTACTTCCTTTGTTTCCTTGTTTAGTTTCTGTCTGGTGTTCCTGTCCAGTGGTGAGAGTGGGGTGTTGAAGTCTCCCACTATAAGTGTGTGTTGTTTAATGGGTGATTTGAGTTTTAGTAATATTTCCTTTACGAATGTGGTTACCTTTCTATTTGGTGCAGAGATGTTCAGAACTGGGACTTCTTCCTGATGGATTTTTCCTGTGATGAATATGAAATGACCTTTATCTCTTCTGATTGATTTTATTTTGAAGTCTGATTTGTTAGATAGCTACACCAGCTTGCTACTTAGGGCCATTTAATTGGAAAATCTTTTCCCAGCCGTTGACTCTGAGATAATGTCTGTTTTTGAAGATGTGGTGTGTTTCTTGTATGCAGCAGAAGGATGGATTCTGTCTTCATATCCATTCTGTTAGCCTGTTTCTTTTGGTAGGTGATTTAAGACCATTGATATTGAGGGTTATTAATGACCATTGGTTATTATTTCTTGTTTATTTTTGGTGGTGGTATTGTGTGTGAGTTTTTCCTCTATTTCTGGCTTTTGGTAAAGTGAGATTATCTATTGCCTATGTTTTTCTGAGTATAGTTGACTTCCTTGAATTGGAGTTTTCCTTCCAGAACTTTCTGTAAGGCTGGATTTGTGTCTATGTATTGTGGAAATCTGGTTTTGTCATGGAATATCTTTTGTTCTCCATCTATTGTGATTGAGAGTTTTGCTGGGTATAGTAGTCTGAGCTGGCATCCATGGTCTCTCAGTGTTTCTAGAACATCTACCCAGGACCTCCTGGCTTTCAGGGTTTCCAAGGAGAAGTCAGGAGTAATTCTGAAAGGTTTGCCTTTATATATTACTTGGCCTTTTCTCCTTAACTGCTCTTAATATTCTTTCTTCTGTATGTTTGGTGTTTTGATTATTATGTGGTGAGGGAACTTTTTTTTGTCTAGTCTCTTTAGTTTTCAGTAAGCTTATTGCATTTTCATAGGCATGCCCTTTTTCAGGTTAGGAAAGTTTTCTTCTATGATTTTGTTGAATATGTTTTCTGCACCTTTGAGCTGGACTTCCTCACCTTCTTTTACACCTATTATTCTTAGGTTTGGTCTTTTCACAGTGTCCCACATTTCCTGGATATTTTGTGTTAAGGATTTGTTGGATTTAAGATTTTCTTTTATCGATTAATCTATTTCCTCTAGTTTATCTTCATTGTCTGAGATTCTGTCTTCCATCTCTTGTATTCTGTTGGTTATGCTTGCATTTGTAGATCCTAATCATTTACCCAGCTTTTCTATTTCCAGTAATACCTCAGTTTGTGTTTTCTTTATTTTCTCCCTCTACTGGAGGGTGGAGGGGGAAGGCAGTGATGGCAGCTGATGCTGGCTACTTTGGACTGCCTCCAGGTCCCTATGCAGGATTCAGTGGGAGGAAGGGTCTTCCAGTTTCTGCAGGTCAGGGGATTCAAGGGGGAGTTTGGGTGTAGGAGCCCCTGGCTCTCACTCACCACTCTACAGGAAGGTGAGGGGGAAGGCCTGTACATGTAATTTTTAAATTCTTACATTTTTATCATTTTGGTGACAGGTTTCTGGTGTAGCCTTTGGAATTTGCCTTGTTTAGTAGGCTAGCCTTGGACTCAGACATCACCCTCCTTTGCCTCATGCATTCCAGGATTGAAGGCTTCCAGAAACATGCCCAAACTTTTGTTCTTGTTTTGTTTTTAATATAGGGACACTTGTGTTTCAGGCTGACACAGAAATCACAGAGTTGTCGAAACCCTGAACATTGGTAATCCCCCCACCTTGTCTTCTCTTCCCATTCCTATTCTCTGCATCCCATCCCTAAGTACATCCATCTCTCTACTCATGCCACCTGCATCCCACTGTCCCTGTGCGGCCATCCTCAGCAACCACAGGTCTCATGGGTCCTTTCTTCTCCTTCATCTGTTCTCCTGCTCACTCTGGTTTTGAAACAAATGGGTAAGAGGAGAAAGATGGAGTCAGGTATAAGAGAAACTGACAGTGTTTGACTTTGTGGGCTTAGGTTACCCCACTCAGTATATTTACATTTCCAGTTACTTCCATTGCTGCAAATTTCATTCCAGTTTTCTTCCTTGCTGGGTGGAACTCACTGGGTTTATGTGCTGTATCTCCATCATGTGGACATCAGCTGATGGAGATGCAGGCTGAATCTTTTTTCTACCTACTGGGACTACAACAGCAATGACCATGAATGTATATATCTGTTGTAGTCTTTGGGGATATTTTCAGTATAAGTCTAGAGAAGTATATCTTGGTGAGATGGTATTTCCAGTTTTCTCTTTCTGAGGCAGGCTCACACTGGTTAGGTTGATAAGCTTAGCCTTTATGCTTACACCAATGATAAGTATTCACTTTTGCACAGACCCTCCAGGTGTACATGGAAAGTATTTGACCTGCTTTCCAATATCTTAGACCTGCAAATATACATTTGTAATGTTTTGTTATTTGAAAACCAAGGAATCTGCCGGGCAGTGGTGGTGCACACCTTTGATCCCAGCACTGGGAGGCAGAGGCAGGTGGATCTCTGTGAGTTCAAGGCCAGCCTGGTATACAACCATACAGAGAAAGCCTGTTTCTAAACACCAAAAACCAAAAAAACAAAAAAGAAAAAGTTAAATATATGTTTATGATTGTGGATTTTCTACATATGAATGTAGATAACATGTGTTAATCATATATATCTAAGACCTGACTCTTAATTTTATGTGTATTTTTCTATGTCTTTTTTTATTACTAACCCACTGAGCTAAGTGACATTCAGATGTATGTGACCATCTTCCCCACCATGGGCAATCTACCAGTAGCAATACTATGAAGAAAAATGCCTCTCCATGCCCCTGTGGCCATCAGTTGTCATTACCTATTTAGCTAGGCTGGCCTTCTCTTTTGGATTTTTGAAACAGTGTTTTTCTGTGTGGCCATGGCTGTCCTGTGTTTCCTCGGTAGTTTTGAAATCAGGGTTCTGCCACCTTCTGGCTCTAAGTGCTGGGATTAAAATTGGACAACGACTCCCTGCTAGGGGTGGCATTCTTAAGGATCAAACACCTTCTTCCCAGATTTTTGACTAACATGATCAATGTGTCAAAATTATCAGATAAAGTTCAACACTATAGGAACATCCACTACCCCAAGTGTCACTAAATCATGTGCCACATGGTCATAAACATAGCTATCATTGGAGTTAATAATGTCATAAATGGACCTCCTGGGAATCAACAGTTCACTGCTGAAAGACTGGTGATATATCATTTAAAATTTATTAAAGCTTGTTGGAGAATTCAGAAAACAAAATTAGCAACCAGCTATAGAGATCAGGCAGTGGTGGCCCCCAACTTTAATCCTAGCACTCAGGTGAAAAAAGCAGATGGATCTCTGAGTTCAAGACCACTCAGGGCTACACTAGATTAAATCAGTCTAAAAGAGCAACAGCATTCACACCATTAATCCCAGTTCTAGAGAGGTATAAAAGATAGGAGCAGCATTGTCTTGAGTTGTCAGTCTCAGGATTCTCCAGTCACATCAAGGAGAGTATATAGCAGTCTGGGATTGCAGTCTGAGTTTTGGTGGAGTCAGGATTGTCCATATCTGTAGGGGGACCCCACCCACAGTGGGCTGGGCCATTCCACCTCAGTCAGTGGTCAGGAAAATGCCCCTGAAAACATTCCTCAATTTCAACTTGATGAAGCCTTTTCTCCTTTCTAGTTCCCTCTTCTCAGATGTGTGTCCTAGTTTGTGTCAAGTTTACTAAAACTATCCAACAGGTACCTCTTTGATACAACTCATGCCCTTCTAACCATGGCAACAACACACATCATAATTTAAGCCATCGTTCATCAATCAGGAATGTGAAGATGCTGCCACAGACTTGTTTGCAAGCCAACCTGAGTCATTTTCTCCTTTGAGGATCCCTGTTCTCTAACATCCCTCAATTGATCTAGTTGATAACTAAGTCACCAACACATGCTTAGTATGTAGAATGCCAGAGGCCACAGAGTTTCACCACCTTATGTGATTGTTACGATTGTCTACTATCACCAGGACTTTTGCCTTCTTGTTCGCTCCATTTATGCCTCTTAATTATTTTACCTGTTTGTGTATGTGTATATATTCTTGTGTACAGGGAAGGGATAAGACAGATCCTTGATCATCAGTATTTTCCTTGGCTACACTAATGCTTTTCTCATTCTTTGTAGAACTCCAGTGCTTGGTGAAGACTGTGGATATGAATGTGATACTGAGTGTGATAAAAAGCAGGAAGCTATTACAGAGAATATCAGCAGTAAAGATATGCCTCCTGGAGTTCATGACAGCCTGTAAGAAACACCATTGGCCATTCATCCTCACAGGACTGTCTCAGAGACCAAACTACACAGATATCATCTGTGTACACAGGAGCTATGGCAAAACCTTATAGACATCGGGGACATTGGAAAGATATCAGTCATTCTGAATCACATCAGGTATTTGAAATTTCTAAGAGGAAACCCTGGAAATTTCAACCATGTAATGACGCCTGTAGGAGTTTCTCTTCTGATCATCCTCAGGAGAGAAGTCACAATGGAGACAGACTCAATGAGAATGACTCTGTGAGAGACACACATGACCAGAATGATGAAGGAATCCATAAAGAAGTGAAACACTTTGTATGTAAGGTCTGTGGAGAATCCTTCATCAATTCCATTGACCTTCTCAACCATGAAAATATTCATATTCGACAGGAAAGGTACATTTGTTGGAAATGTGGCAAAACATATACATATGGAGAGTATTTTGAGAGTCATGAAGTAACTCACACAGAAGGGAAGCCTTACGCTTGTAAGCATTGTAGAAAAATGTTTACCAGCTCCAGTATTCTGAATGTTCGTCAAAGGATTCACAGTGGAGAGAAACGTTATACAAGTAAGCGTTATGAAAAAGCCTTCTTTGTTGGCTCTAGTAGTCATAAGAAACATGAAAGAAATCACAGTGGAGAGAAGCCATATGCTTGTAGGCATTGTGGGAAACACTTTCATCTTGCCAGAAATCGTTACAAACATGAACAAGTTCACACTGGAAAGAAGCCTTATTCATGTAAATATTGTGGAAAAGCTTTTACTGACTCTAGGAATCTGAAGGGACATGAAAGTCTTCACACAGGAGAGAAGCTACATTCATGTAAGCAGTGTGGGAAAGCATTTACACGCTCCAGTACTCTCATCACCCATGAAAGAATTCACACTGGCGAGAAGCCTTATGCATGCCAGCATTGCAGAAAAGATTTCAGGTACTCCAGCAGTCGTAACATACACGAACGGAGTCACACTGCATAGAAGCCTCTGTATGTATGCAAGCATTGTGGAGAAGCTTTCAGGGAGTCTTAGAGTCATTATAAACTTGAAGCATACTGGAGAGAAGCCTTATGCATGTAAACATTGTGGGAAAACCTTCAATGCTTCTACTTGTCCTACTTTGCATAAAAAATTTCCAGAGGAGAGAAATCCTTTGTATGTAAAATGTGGGAAAACATTCATTCATCCTAGTGACCTTAACATGCTAGCTCCAGAACAGCCAATAGAACACAAAGAAACCTTGTGTCAAAAACCAAAACAAGCAAGCAATCAAGCAAAAATAAGAAAACAAAAACAAGGAATAAATATAAAAGAAAAAAAACCTTAACATAGTGTGCTCTGGGATAAACCTAAGCCACTTTGCAATATAATTGCATGGTAAGAAGGTGCTCTGGGATTTTGAGAGGACTCACTCACTTCTTGGAACATGAAGTATTCCCCATCTGCCTTTTCCTTAAATTGAGCCCCTGAAATTTGTTTCATACATTTTAATCTCTTGCCCCAGTGAGAGACCCAGGTCTTAGCAGAACTCTAGTCATAGCACAAAGGCCAGAGTAGGATGCAGTACTGCCCTCCTCCCTTAGTCAGTGGATGGGACTGCCCCTGACCTTATCTCTAGTTACAGGAAAACCCCCCAAACACTTCACCCATAGGGAGAAGCCAATCTCAATTGGGCAAACAACTCCTGGTGTCCTTCTGCAGAGACTAAAATGTTTTAACTTCCCAGAACCCAAAATAGCCAATCAGATCAGCACAGATACTCCTAATCTGTGCTTGAGCCAATCCCAATCAGTAACTATGAGTTTTGGAATCCACTGGAGGACCCATGGGGAATCCTGCTGGTGGGTCAGGGGGGCCTTGGAGGGGGACTGCAGCCTCTTAGTTCCCTTGCAGAGAGCGAGCAGGTGGAAACTGCAGACCTTTAATCCAGTGTCTCACTTTCAGATCAGTACACAGATGCCTGTTTTGTCTGTTATTGTGTGTGCCTCTTTGGTTGTGTTTTTGTTTTTGTTGTTTCGATTTTGTTTTTTTTTCTTTTGTTTGTTTTCTACACAGGGTTTCTCTGTGTAGCCCTAGATATCTTGGAACTCACTGGGGACCAGGCTGGCCTTAAACACACAGATCTGTCTGCTCCTGCCTCCCAAGTGCTGGCATGAAAGGCATGTGCCAACACTGCCTGGTGAGCTGCTGCTAGTCAAAGACAATTTGTTGCTGCTTATTCGTTAAAAGAACATATAATGAGAAAATTGTTTTTATCTATAATTTTCCCATAAGCTCTTCTAAGAGTTTCTTTAATCGATTAGAAATGAGTCCCTCTATTTTATTCTACATTACCTGAGGTAGAAGGTTTTTGACATGGAGGCTTAACAGCTATATCCAAAAACATGCAGACTTTTTTTTTTGTAACACAGAGGTGTGCTGCATATCTGTGTGCATAAGGAAATAATCAATTCTGTTAAAATTCAACCTTCTGAAATTTTTCTGAGCCTCACTATACTATAAATTGTTAAATTACTTTCACCTAAGTCCTCTTTCTAAACTTAGTATGTCATAAAAGAAACAGAAGAATCTACTGTTGTGAAGGGACTTGCAGGGAAGTGTAGAGTTAGCAGGAAAAAGAGAGATGAAAGAGGATTTGTGTGTGAGAGTACTAAGAATTTATTACATGCATGTATGAGACTGTCAAAGAGCAAATGTAATAAAAATTTAAGAAGGAATAATGTCCTCCATGGTATCAAATAAGTTAAATATAGGTAGATATCAATAGTAATAAAAACTACAGAAAATCCACAAATACATGTAAAATGAGCAATGCTGTTTTCTAAATTTTTAAACGTTGAGTATACCTGTTTTGCCTGCATGTATGTATACACAAGGAGATTATGCCTAGTGCATAGAGAGGTCAGAAGAAAGCATCGGATTGCAAGGAACTGGAATTTACCAATGGTTACCAGCCACCAGGTGAGGGCAGGTAGGACCTCTGCAAGGCAAATATTCTGAATCACTGAGACATTTGTTTAAAGCAGCCTACAGTCAAACAAGGTGCAGTCACAAACATGCAATAAAATTTCAATTCCATGGAACTCTTTACCACCTTTGTTGGCAATTCACATTCAGAAGAGTTTAGGATAATTTCTGAAAGTCCACTTATAACCTTAAAAATTATCACTGCAAGCAAATAAAACGTGATACAAATTCGAATTTCTCACTTTCTTCATACTGGTAATTTTGGCCTACTGTAGTCAGAAAACAAGAAAAATTTCTTTCACATTAGCATTTAAAAAAAAAAATTAAAAAGTCCAAAATCCATACTGGCTGAGGTGTTTTGGGGGTCTAGATACAGCTTTACGAGAGGGGTTGTTTTGACTAATGGTAGTCATGATGTGAATGACTGCCCTTCTAGCTAAGCAACCTCCATCTTAGGGAATTCCAAAGTGCCCTTTTGAAAAGGTTATCAGGGCTGGGATTGTTGACTCCTTAACCCTACAGATAGGGATTGAGGATGGCATAGGATGCTCACCTGAGGATCCAGGTGAATGTGGTCTGGGGAAGGGCTAGAGTATATAGAGTCATTTTAGGAGAAACAGGGCATGAGTGTGCCTTAACTGAACCTGAATTCTTTGCAAGAATGGTAAGCACCCATGACTGATAAGCCTACCTTCCAACACCTTTTAAAAGTATTATTAAATAACAATCATACTTCCATTTCCTCCCTCCAACCTTTCCTATGTACTCATAACACCTTCTATGGTAGATGGCACAGTATTATTTATATTTGTTTCATATATAGATTCATATATATGATAAAAATATACCACTGTTTTTGGTGTTTGATTGTATAAGATTTTAAATCTTAACATTCTTAATTGAATAACCAATTAGATGACTCGAACCTTGGATATACTACCTCTCCCTCTCTCAATAGTAGTTTATTTTATTTTATTTTTCTTTTTGTAGAGGGAGTACCCAATGAAATCTATGTACCTGTCTGTTAGTATTGTCATTGTTCTTGTTTCCACAACTCTGTTGCTGCTGTATTATATGTGTTGCTTCTCTGTTAAAGCAGACACCTGGTAGTCAGGTTCTAATAATAATGCCACCCTTTCAGGGTATTCCCTGAGACTCGGGTGTAGGCATTGATTGTAGATGTACTAAGTAGGCCTGGGATCCTGACCTTCAGTTAATCTCTACAATATGAACAAATGTGGCTTACTAGAATTGTCTGGTTTCTCCAAAGAGATTATTTAAAGAAAGGCATGGGATATACTTTTGAGACTATAAATAAAAATTTTAATATAAATTTTAACCCTCAGGAATTATGCTGACCTCCCAAAGTGGCAGTAGTAGGTTTTTTAAAATCCATGATCTTGCTATATTGATTAATTGGTTCTGACTTATTGGCATGTTTCTCTCCTGTTGAGCAGGCCTTAATTATATACAGTAGCTGATTGCCAAATGACATGGATGACACTACAACTAAACCTGTATTGACATTTTGCCATGTTGATGACCATTTAGGTTCATGGTGTTCTTATTTTCTTTCCAATTGGTGTGATGAGAATTCATGACCAAAACAAATTACGAAAGAAAATATTTTAGGACAATCGTAGTTCCAGATGTTGGAGCCATGATTATAGTTATAGGTAACAAGGCAGCAGGCAGGCAAGTATAGCAAAGGCATCATGATCTGAAAGTTGGAGGTAGAAGAGCTAACTTGGACCAGTGATAACACTGAAGCCTCAAAGCAACCCATAAACTAATCCTCTGTAACTAAAACATCTTCTAATACTTCCCAACAGTTATACCAACTGGCAACTAAGCATTCAAATATGGGAATCTATGGGGTCCATTCTCATTCAAAACAACACAGATGTCACTCTTGGGGAGGGCTATTAACTGCTTCTCTCACTTGGCAACTTGCACTGTCTCTATTACTGTGACAGACTAAATGAAGGTTGTTTTAGGGTTAGATCCAACAGAACCTTTCCAAGTCCTGCATCCAAAGTGTGCAATGGCTCCAGCCAATACAACTTACCTTCAATGTAGCATAGATGACCAAAGGAAACAGTGATAGCATGAACTACTTGGGGAATTACATAAACTCTCATGAGAAACTAAAATGGGTATTTCCCATCCCTAGTAGTGTTGTTTTTATTAATATAGGTTTCTTGAGTTTTTCTACTGTTAAGCCAAGAGACATAGCATCATTAAATATAGACACATCAATATGTATGAGTATATATATTCATAAGTGTGTAATAATCTCATATTCACACCCATATTATATGTAATATACCATTAAAATATATTGTACATAATAATAGATATTACATATATTAATCACTTTACATATAATATACGTTTGGTATTTACAGAATAACCACTTCTTTTTTAAAGATTTTATTTATTTATTTATTTATTTATTTATTATGTATACAACATCCTGCTTCCATGTACACCAGAAGAAGGCACCAGATCTCATAACAGATGGTTGTGAGGCACCACGTGGTTGCTGGGAATTGAACTCAGGACCCCTGGAAGAGCAGTCAGTGCTCTTAACCTCTGAGCCATCTCTCCAGCCCCCAGAATAACCACTTCTTAACCTTTAACAACATTGATATTTATTCCTCCTCCCTCTCATAAATAGACCATCCTCATTTCATGCCTAATTAGAAATCTCCTCCACACTTTTCCCATTTTCCCACATTCTCAGTCACTTCCAGCCATTCCCTTCTTTACCTTCTCCCCTGATTCCCAATTGAAAACTATCCAGGAACACAGAAAATTTCAATAAAAAAATGGTTTGGCACATGGAATTAACAGAAATAGTGTGATAACCCAAACTTAGGTAGAAAAGTCTCTCCTCTCTCTTTTGCAGTTCTGACCTCTCAAACTTGAGATGTAAGAAGGTAACCTGGAGTAACCAGAGAAACAATACATTTCCTTCCTAATAAAAATATAATACATAGTAAATTTCCAGT